AACTGCGAAACTAGAAGCTGCCCATTTCCAGTGATTTCTCCTTGTTTCCTTGTTCTGTTTGTTTTAGTGGGTTATATGTCAGTCAGTAGAACACATTTCTACGTTTTGCTAGGCTAAAAATGTTTGGCTGCACATCAGGAGGTACGCCGCGCGCGGCGGCCGCTCCGCCGCGCAAGCCGCGTTCGAATCTTGGGGCCCACAAAACCCCTACTGTTGAAGATTCCCCGCGGCAAAAACAGGGGGGTGGGGGTGGGGCAGATACATGACTGGATGCCTTAAGTAACACTGCGCCAGGAGCGCTGCTGTTGTATCGGCTGAAGTACGTTGCGGCGTCGCTTCGCGGAAATTTCGCGCCGATCGTACCTCCTGACCGTTTCCCAAAATGTTTTACTGGGAAGTTATTAGTGTAAATGCCGTCGCTGATAGGGCTTGGTGTGCATTCTCACATACTGAGTTACAAATGACTCAAGGTTATATGTTTCAACATTTACCGCATAAAATGTAGTTATGGAAGAATAATCTCGTTGAACGATCACAGTGTGAAAGTTTACTCAACTCGTGCCTATAGTTACAAATGGCTGCGAAGAGCGCGCTCCATGACCTAATGCAATTTGACGGCGCGCAGGGCGTTTGCTGTCGGAGCGTGCAATTCAGGCACAGACATACCTTCGATAGTCTAGAGCAGGGCCCGGCACGCCTTGGTTTGGAGGTTTTTAGGAAACGAAGTCTCCCATGACTTCGCGAAAATTTACGAAGTCCATCTCGACGTGAAAATCAGTGGGGAAACCCTTATTCAACCAAAATAGCAACAAAAAAGCGAAAAAGCGCATTTTGAGGTATGTATAACAAAAAAGCAAAAAGAAAACATTTCGAGTCGATTAAAGGCTCTGCCATTGGGTATAGTACCATTTTGATGCTGGGAATGTCGAAAATCTCCTAGGCCAACCAAATCTGTAGCCTCAACAATCTTGCGATGCATTTTTCGCCACATATTTCAAAGGACACCGCAAGTGATTGGAGCGCGATATCTATCAACGCGTAGACTTATACTACTTTTGACTCAAAAAAGGGGAGAGGCAGCGGTTTGATCCGCTCTCTTCACTATATGATAGATTTTTGGCCGTTTTAATCGTCCAAATCAAAAAGGACCAAAACTTATGTGAACTCTCCGATATCTATGCTCCGAACCAACCCAGTTGGTTTGGTAGTTGGTCTAAAAACCAACAAATTCGAGAACGGATATTAGGACACATAAGTTTTGGGAACTTTTTACATAACATAGTTTGGAGTAATATTGTATACACATAGCCCAATTTCGGAGCCATGTGATTGTTTGTGCGCTGTAAACAAGCCATTTGTTTGTTTGAGTCTTGCATTTGAAATTCGCGCTTGCGAAAGAACACATTCAACTCGTGAAACCTGACATGTTCGTCGTGTTTTTTTGGCGCTTCCTCCAGGACCTCATAAAAACGATGTCCCCGTTGCTTCTAGCTCCAAAAACGAAGTCCAGTTTGACCCCAAACCATCGGTGCCGGGCCCTGGTCTAGAGACAGGGCGTCAAAAGTGAAGGTTGTTTGAACATCTGACGTCATAAATAGTGAAGGTTGTCCAAAAAAGATCAGAGATGAGAAAATGACGTAAAACGGATATAAAAAGCAAAAGAAATGGCTGAAAATCGGATAAAAACGCTGCAAAAGGTTTGAAATCTTTCAATTGGCGACTTATCAAGGTGCAAGTTTTCGCTCCAGGACCAGCAATTCGCAACACGGGGTTTTGATTTTTGATGCGTCCTTTGAATTTTTACCCCCCGCAATGACGTTCCTGTTTCCTGGGACGTTGTCTGGATTGTTGCGCTTATTGTTCTGAGCAACAATCGCCCAAGCTGTAAAAAATCGCTGCGAAAGCACTGAAAGAGAACAAGGTAAAGAAAAACGCACTTTTTACGATTTTTCGCAATCCTACCATAATCGAAGAAATAAGAGCTGGGTGGTTGTCTGCATTATGAGCAGAAGCAAGATCTATAGAATGCACGAAAAAACCGCGTGAAAAGAGTTAAATTAAAAGAAAAACAAGAGATTTTCAAAACAAGGTTTTTGCCGGATTTCTCGATCAAATCAAAGAATGTGGTTCTGGGACGTTGTCAGCGTGAAAATAGAGATCAAGAGCTTCAAAATGATATATAGCTTGCTAAAATTGGGTTCGAAACAGCGAAGAAAAGGGTACCAGAGCCAAATGCCCCGCGCCCCGCGTTTGGGGTAGCGAGGTAGCGCGCAGCGCGCGGAGACGCAGACGAGCAGCGGAGACAGACCAGAGCCGACGGGGCATTTGGCTCTGGTCGTAGATCTCTGCGGGGTCTCAACGAAACCCTGCGACATTATATATCATTCTGGTCGTCCTGATACGGCGAGGAGAACTGACAACGTCCCAAGCTTCGAAAGCCACTCAGCGGAATAGACCAGCATTCTCATGCGCGACCCTCTGCGAAAGATTTAAGCGCTGTTTATTATAACTCTCTCTTTTATTATAACTCCAACAGCTTTCCTAAACTTATGATACTCAATTTTGGTCAAATGAGAGGTTAACAGAGAAATTTCGTCTTGAATTCTGGCGAAAATTTCACAGAAACCTTCCTTTCAACGTAAAAAAGGCTATAAAACGCAAATTCTCGATTTCGCTGAGATAGACTAATGATCTTATCTTATTCCCTACCAGCGCTTCACCTCTGCTTCGCAGAGGCTCGCACTGGCTTTACTATCTGGGCCGTACTCATTCTCGCATAATGATGGCATTGGAACTCACCGAGCAATGCCGACTATCACGAACAAAATGTAAACAACTTCATTCCGAAAGCTTTTTATGTAAAATCGGTGATTTCGCATGGATTAGAATTTTTGCAGGAGAACAAACGCAAATTTTTACAGGTTTTTGATTTTCCCATGGTCTTGACAGTTGCAATAAGAACAGCAGTCACCGTGAGCTAGATCTTTGTGCAAAAATCTCGTCAAATGCTCTGGTAAAACCTTGGCAAATTGGCCATTTATGCAGCCAATACTTTTTGGCGCCGTTTTTCTGAAGTAATGGACTTTTGATCACTTTTTTGAGTCTAAGTTCATGGTTTGCGCTTTTACTTGACATAAACATCCACTAATTTGCAAAAAGTGGAATTACGGACCCAATTATGCGGCCCAAATGCAAAGTGGATCCGTTTGACGCGCAGTTTCTGAGTGATCCACTCAACGAATTTGCTCGTGCTTTTGTATGTTGGACTTTCATGCGGGTAGCATGCGCTGTGCAAAAATTGGCCCCCAGAGGTTGGCTGGAACACTCTACGAATTTCGTAACAGACACACACACACACACACACACGCACACACACACACACACACACACACACACACACACACACACACACACACACACACACACACACACACACACACACACACACACACACACACACACACACACACACACACACACACACACACACACACACACACACACACACACACACACACACACACACACACACACACACACACACACACACACACACACACACACACACACACACACACACACACACACACACACACACACACACACACACACACACACACACACACACACAAAGTCACGTAAACATCCTTAGCCCGTTATTATAAGTTATGATATTTGCTTCATTAGCATTCGTTCCGAAATAGTCAGGATGATAACATCCGGGGCTACGCCCCGGATGACTTCTGTTTTTTTCCAGGTGAAGGTTGTGTCCCCTCATAGCCCTCAAGGTGAAGGCTACCAGAGTACGTGGCTATATGTATCAAGGGTATGGGCACAGATGTCTACTATCTGATCCATACTTAGGCTAAATTGAAAATCCTGATTGATGACAGCCTATCAATACCTTGAAACGAGCTGGTACTAAAGATTTCCTTGAGTCAGCGGCAACAAATTAACGACGAAAGGGTAAAGATTGTACACGATTGATCTCTTTCTATGAACATTTTGCATGAATTTTCTTGTACGACTTTTTTTCTAATAGCAAGCTTTTGTGCAGCGTGACTCCGTCTCCTGATGCTAAAGATTGGAAGACTTGTATAGGCCCCTTCCCTTATTTTTATGTACCTTTGCTTGTGTTTTGAAGAAAATTTGATTACTTCGTTGTGCACTCACTATGAGCAAGTTTGGGATCCATAGATCGTTTGTTATACCGAATGAGAAGTATCTGTATGTCGGGTGATTCAAAACTTCTACGAAAAGTGGACTCTCTGTCAACAACTCAAGCTTTTTTCAATTTGTCACAAAAATGAAGGTCAAAGAGCAGGGTCTCCATCAAAAATCGCTAAGGAAGTCCCTTCAATTCGTTATACTGCATGCATAAGAAGTGGTTTTTGGTTGTAACATCATGGAAAGCAGTTTTATCTTCAATGCGTCGCAAAAGCTACCCAAGAAAGAGTTAAACTCACAGTTAAACTTTGTTTCTTCTGCAAAAGAAAACTTTTTGTTCTGAATTGACGCTACTGCGAACAAAGAGGAACTTTCATTGGTGTTATTCGCTTTTGTGGCCTCAAAACAACAGAACTGCAAATTTTTGCGAGTTGTCAATTGTTGTCGAATAACGTGGACTAACGACAAGTTGCCGCAGTTATTTCACGCGCTGCGTCACCGCCTGAAATTTACAGCTTTATTTTTATACATATGCTTCTTTCTGTATTATGCTTTCATTTCTCAATGAGTCTGCTCAAAAGATGCGAAAATGAAAAACCTACAAAACTATGCGGAGTCATTGCTCGTCATTGTATCTGATTTTCCTTGTTGATTTCCTCTCAAAATCTTGATATTCTCTGAATCGCTCGATTTTATACTTCCATTTATCACTACTTGGAGAAGTACAAGTGCTAGTGCTTTGTGTGCCATGTTTCCAAAGCATATCTGCAGAAATTCGCTTCAAGAAGTGGCGATTGATGTCGTTCTCGTTAGATTCAAGCCCTCTCTCTTTCAGGCCCTCTACATTTTTTGGCTTTTTCTCCCATGCATTTTTCAGTCGCCATGAGCGGTCGAAAGATCGCAGATGCAGCGACCAAGAACCGTACGCAGACACCATTTTGGACATGGCTTCGAAATAAGTTATTAGCTGTAGACAGATTGCCAGGCACCCCAGCACCCGGTATCCCTGGAAAGGACGGAAAGGTCTGTAGTTTTGCCTCGCATTTTCTAACATTTGTGCTTTTTTAGGCTGTTTATCACAATCCGCTACGTTTCCCGAAGACGCAGTCAGCGCGCCCAGGTTCTGCAGAACTACCATCATTACCTGGGGGTATTCATCATAAACTAGCTGAAAACTACTATTACACAAGGTATGGGAAATTGATACTCCCTGGCTTTTACTCCTTTTTAACACGTTTCGGACCGCGAAATCGCGCGCGGCGAAAAAGAGGGTACTTTCAGCCGTTAGCCAATAAAAGGACCTTGTTTCGTAGACTACAGGCTACATTTGTAATCAGCATGTCAGATAAGCTCCATACCCAAAGTTCTGAGTGATCGAAGTGTTTAAATTGTGCACCATGTACAGCATCGGTCCGAAACCTGTTAAGCTTTTTCACCGGTCATATGAAAGCATAAAATCGCTTCCGTTTCTACTAATCCTCTGTGCTAGACTGTTTAGCAACAGGGTTCAGTCACCGTCTCTCATTAGAAAAATATTCAGAGATGGGCGCCGTGTAGTTCTGCCGCCAAACGTTTTGTACGTCGCTGATGCTCATGGAGTAGAATTTGGATCAGCCAAAGGGGAAAAGATTGAGTGAGTTTCGCAATCTTTGCTTTTGATTTGTCATTCTGTCGAGTTCTTTCGTTTCCATCTTTTCTTCCATCTTTGTATGGATTGGCTACTCGTTTGTAGAATACATGCCATGCTTATGAGACAGTGACGCATAGCATCACCTTTATCTTGTTGGCGGATGCTTAGCATCACTTTGTCTTGTTGGCGAAGTCCAAGAAACATTGAGGGGCACACAGTATATTTTCTACCCAAATCTACCATCATCGCTCAAATGCGGAGGGAACATGGACGAAAGAAAGTCTTTTTGGAACCTTATCTATTCAGCAACCGATCAGAACTGCTTATTTACTTGAACGTTATCCACTGTTTTACGAAAGTACTGAAAGTGCAAAGTTGCCGTGCGCTATCGGCAGACCAAAACGCTATGCTAGGAGAGTTTCATTGTGACTGAGAAATCGCAGTTTAGCTTGTAGTGGCGACTTCTTTGTTATTGATTAGAGTTTCGCCGTCTTGATTGGAGTATAGGTTTGTAACTGGTAATGGAATGCCGACCCAATTTTGATTTGGAGCATTTTCGCATGCGATTTTGAAAAAGTAAACAAGTAGGGTACATAATGATAGTTCTTTTAACCATTCCTCCAAAAACATTTTTTACAGGCGCGACAAAGCTATTCAAGTCAACAAGGGGCCGAACGCTAACTTTGGCCTGCAAGCACCCACGCCCGGTTTCGGTTTTGAATGGAAACGCGCAAGAGAGACGGAGTTGGAAACGCAGAGAAACGAGCCTGAACTTGAAAAACTAGAGCGTTTTGACCGATTCACGGCAAGCCAGTAGAAGTCGGATATTGTAGAAATCGATTTAGTTCTATAGCTGTGATTGAATAAAAACTCTGCTTTCTTTTTGAGTGGTTGTATCTTGGTTGAACCTTCATTACTTGCTCGATAAGTGTGTTTCTTGATTTGTTTTCTAACTTTTGCCTCCAGATCAAGAAATGCGCACATCAGCTGTGAGCTTGGCGAAGCACTTTGGTGGGCTGGGCAAAGTAAGCTGTTTATACTATCTGTATACAGTACTATCGCAAGAGTTACTTGCAGATGTATGGCGAACATCGTTTCGCATTGGCACCAAACGAGCAGAAGGCTTTCAAAGGCTTCATCGATCAAGCTATCGTAAAAGTAAGTCGACTTTATTTCTACAGTAGATTTGCAATGCATTTTTTACTTGGTCTCCTTATCATCTTTCCGCACATATCTAGCGTTCTTCCTGCGTTCGTTTTCAAACATTCATTTTTGATTTTAAAACCTTACTGAATGATAGCATCTTAAAAACATTTTGTGCCAAGTTCGAAACCGCAGTCATCAAAACATTCTTTAGCCACATATTGCCGGTGTTGCTGATGCTTCTGGTTTAGAAAGTTGCAGAGTTAGTCTGATGTGAATAACTGCGTTTCTTTCACTTTCTGTTAACAGCGTAGAAAAGAAAGTCGACATAGTATACAAGCAGCGAGATTGCGTGATTAATCCGCAGGGCTGTTAAAGGTAGAAATCCCGCCGGGCACCCCTTTGCGGGTTACTCTTTCTTTCGCACACGCTATTGATGCCGTATGAGGGAGCGCGGTATGTAATTTTATTCGTTCCTCTACCTCCGCAAGGTTGGTCTTCTCATCTTTTGTTGCCAGCAACATCGGCATCGCGGGTGATGATTGAGCACAGAGCTTCTTCCGGTGGCAATGCGATCAACCAATAAAAACTCATGCAGTAAACTGGCACTTCTCTTGTCCGAAAAGTGATCTACTTACCAGCCCTAAGCACTATATTGGACTGAGCTCATCTATAAAGTATACGAGTGATGAGGACCCGTCATACTTTCGAGAAAGCCCAAAGCGCTAGAAAAAGCCGGAATGCCCCTTTTCGCGCGCAAGTTTTGGCGCTAGGGCATGTGTTTTGATCTCGCAACCGGGTTTTTTTGCTTCATTTTATGTCGTCTGCACATCAAAGTATGTCACAATTCTACCAAAAGTTCCAAGTCGGATGGAACGAGTTCATTTTAATTTAGCAAGTTTTGTTTTTAGGAAACTGCATGTTATTTCAGCTTCTCATGCTCAACTATCGTGTCTTTGTATTGTACGTGATTTGATTCGCATTGTCTAGCTCTTTGTCAAGTTCATACTTTTTTCTAGGAGATGCGGAGGGCTCACGAGCATGGCTGATTTTTGGTTATGCTAAAAGTTGAAGCGAATTTCATTAAAGCATTTTGAAGTTCTGCCTGTTAGATATTGATTGCTTCCCCAACGACAACGATGTTATCAACGATGTTCTCTTTCTGGCGCTTCGGGCTCTTTTGGGCGCTTTTAGGCTAATTTGGGCTCTTTTGGGGGCTTATCGGGCGCTTTTGGGCTTTTGTCGACGAAGTATGGCGGTCCCATGGAGTAATTCTAAAGTGCGCGAATGGTGCTAGCATGCTGAGATTTGTTGATTTTCTGTCCAAATGAACACTTCTCCTGTGAACCTCTCACCTATAGAGGCATCTATAACATTCCTACAAATATAAAAAAAAGTCAGCGAGAGCTCCTTGCTTGGAGGATATAGATATTTCTACCATTGTGGTCTCGAGCGCGCATATGTTACAAGTGCTTTGATGATAAGTTATGAGTTCAACATCGGCTGCGATGGGGCCGCAAGAATAAGCTTTTTTACCTCATCTTTCTCAATTTTAGTTCTGGTACGCAATGCAGGTAGTAAAAGCTGCTTTGTCCTCTAAAATAATTAACAGCAATTCTTCCATATTTTAATGTTTACAAACAAAGCAGCAAATGTAGCTGAAGGCGAATTTAACGATTTCGGGTCACAGATGATGCGCATGCGGAAAATATTGCATTTTGGAACTGCCAAAAAAGACGATCTTTCAATGCTAAATTGCGAACAATTTGTCGCTACTGATACTTTGTGCCTTCTAGGAAAACTTCTACTTTGACATGTCGTTTTGGCGTTGATTATTATTTTAGAGAGTAGAAGCGTGATTGAGTTTACTTCTAAGTGCTTCTCCCCCAGGTTTTCTGATTATCAAGTTGTTTGGTTCACTGATGAACAGTCCTCTGACATCGCTGCACTTCACGTGCTTGTATCATATTGATTTGAATTGCATTTCTTTCAGGTATTCAGAACTTACGTTTGGGATCAGTGGTATTATTATCTACCTCAAGCAGTTGGTGCTTATCTTCTTTACGATTGGGCAAAGAGGAAGAATTATGAAGTTTCGAGGAAGAATCCAGCTGACTTTGCTAACGACCAGTAAACTACCTCAGAATTTGTCTATGTTGATCTAGAACAGTAAAGATTAGGTTTTGAAATGGATTTTTGAGCTTCAATACTAATTTGACTGTGCTTGATTCACAACACCATAGCGGACCTCATCTCAAATGACAGCGGATTATGCAACTAAGCTGCTGCATAAGTTGAATTTTGAATCTTACAGCAAACAATCAGCGTGATTTGTTTGCATTATCGTTGGCTCGTCTTTGCCCGCTTGCGATACCTTATTTCTAGGGAAGGGTAAAAGAAAGAATTTCTGGGATAGTGTGTCGCTTTTTTCCATAATTATTTTCCATTGTCTTATTCCTGTCTATCTTGAAAAATCCAAAGAATGTTTTCTAGATCCATTTTAGTCTACTTCGTATTTCAAACTGAGCAACATTTGCCTCACTGATAGCGATGGCTATACTCAGTCTCGAAGAAAGAATTGGGAAGAATTTAATTTGAACGACCAATAGTGCTCAGAAAAAAATTGAGGGACATTTTGATTTTATGGTTAGCTAACTGCGTTCATGCAGGTGAGCTGACTGACAAGCCACGCAGTCCTGAATACCTGGTCTTACGATTAGTAGACAAATGTTGCTTCAAATTTTGCTTGTCACCTTTTTTCATGTAACTTCTAGCCCATTGTTGCAGTTTTTTGGCGGTAAAAGACATTCCGCTTTGGTGTTTTTCTATAGAATCAGAAGGGATCTGTGCTTGAAATAGATCCACCTCAGGCGGAAAAAGAACAGAGGTTTTTCTGCTTTGAAAGTGCTGTTGAAGACGGTAACAAGAGCTCTGTTAGCTATCTCATTTGGATGAAGTACTGGCTCTTGACATCAGCATTACAGACGAGACTTTAATGCAATTTTTCAGTCTGATGCTCCGTGCGTATAGTTTAACAGTGCGGTCAGTTGGCATTTTTGCGTTAAATCAGTACATGGGAAAAAATTGCCATGTCTGATATGCTGACGTGATCTCTGGCGTGTATCAGGATGGAACATAAGTCTTGCACCAAATTTTTGAAAAAGCGCAACTTCCTACAAATCCGGAAGAACCCGCTCGATATAACCTAATGCATGAAACAAAATTCGTTTTTATCATGTAGCGCGATAAAAGGTGACACAAACAATCGGTTTTTTCTTTGATCGCAAAATTTGAGGTTGTTAGACCTTTAAGCATTTTTAACAACTGAAAAATGCTGGAAGCTCTAGCAGCTTCTAATCCCACATTCACTCCAAGTTGTGACCTGCTCTTCTTTGTTGGGATGAATTTGTGCTAATTGGATCTTTTTACGAGGAGCTGTGTTTTTGGATTTTTTTTTCGATTTATGATTTTGCTCAAGTTAGAATTGCTAACATGCATGATTAATCACTGCATATTGTATGCAACAGAAAAATTTACAAAGTGAATGGTTGCTTGAGCTTTTGTAAATGATTTTTATATGGATTTAAGACGTAAATTCCAACTTAGTAAGGATTGGTTACAGGTTGAATATACTCATTCTCAATCATACGTAAGTGTTGCCGGTGACACAAGCAATAATAATCTCGAATCCACTAGACGTACGCTCATAATCGCTTTTATTTTATAATAGGTAATTTGCCGGCTATGCTTTAGTAGATTTACTCTCCAGACTAGGAGCTTTTCGTCACCATTATCGAGGTGGTTTTTGGAACAACTAATGATTTTGCACAATGCTAATTGTCGTCGATCCACCAACGACAATCATTCCGCGGAGTTCTCTATGACGTACCACAAAAATAAAAAAGTTGACCATTGTCTAAAGTCATTTGTGCACTGACATAAACAAAATATGGAAGTTGACAAGGTGTAAACTTACCTTGTTCAACATGAGAGAATAAAGAAATAGTTTTACTCCTGCATTATCATTTGGTATATTGTATTGAATCATGACATCGGGAATTAGCAATAAGCAGCAAGCGCTCAATGTGGTCAAACCTACAAAGTTATTCGTGGATACTGAGTGGTAGAAATGAAAATACTTACCCATAGTAACGTTACTGCGCATAATCTTCTTGCTTTGAATTTTGCTCATTGATGGATCAAATGCACGTGAAGTGGTCTTAAATCTCTGAAATGGTAGTGATTGTTATTTTCATTCTAATTTTTACGAGGGTTCCTCAGGCGATGCTAATCTGATGTCTTTCTAACAATTGAGACTGATTTTTGTACTTAATACTACTGATGTTGTTCCCTAGAAGGGTATAAGGTATTATGAGATTGATACATTTGCACCCTTCTCCTTTTCATTTAACGTCTTTGATCAAAAAGTTGAATTTAGTAGGGTGATGGCCACTTGTTTATTCCAGATAGTCAGCCGTAATTCTTAGGAAATTTTGAACTCGAACTATACGGGGCGTCTTAAAAAATGCGCACATTGATCGCCAATAACTCTCTTGCTTGAACGTCTTTCGCCGAGCTTAAGGTATCTTCCTTTAGAGCGAGGTTTAACTTACAAGGGAAGGATACTTGGTGTCCGTGGCCTTTTCCAATGAGATGTATATCAAATGGATGCGCCTTAATACGCTGATTCCAAATCTATGTTTATTTTCTGCTGTGCGACTCTCTGAAATTAGTATGGATTCTTTTCCATATTGATTTCACGAGATCTTTGTAGGCAGTCAAAATCATCAGTAACCGGTCTTTTTAAGCTCTGGGATATCGGAGACAGTTTTTCTGGGCTTAACGTAAAGCTTTGTTTCATTTGGAGGTTTTATAGCGCATAAGTGAATATTCTAACGGCGGCGCCGCGTTATGGAGCAAAGCTACGCCGCATTTGCCTCTGGTGTATCCTGAGGGACCTTTGCGTTGCGTCGCGCCTAATTGCAGTAGCAGAGGAGCTAGCGCTACCGAGCGGATTGAGCTGTTGTCCTCACTCTCCATAGATAAAGAAATCAAAATGTGAATGATAAACGCATTTTAAGGGCGAATCAAAAATAAGAGTATGAGGAGAAGTTTGCAAAGCAAGCCAAGAGGAAGTAAAAGATGAGTAAGTTAATTTCTCTTGAAAACTGGCGGAAAATTTCTATCCTTTTTCTCTACTAATTCTCGTATTCCACTTCTCTTGAACATTTTTAACTCAAATCAAGCATTGAATCATCTCAGATTCAGCTTTTGTTCATCCCTAGAATTCATTTATTTTCTAAATTGCGGTCTTCTTTGTTTTCCTTATTGCATCTATACAGTTTCAATATATAAGGTCGTGGTAATAGGGAATGGCTCAATCCCCTGGCAGGAGCAGTGCTACTCCTGCGCAATCAAAAGCGACGCGACGCAAATGGCCCTCAGGATATACCGCAGGGAAACGCGGCGTAGCTTTGCTCCATAACGCTACGCCTGCCCCCCTATTCTAACAATATTGGTAAATCCTGTCATTAAAACAGTGCATATTTTGGTGGCAAAAAAATGTCCATAAGTTCCTTCGGAAGAGCGCGCAGCAGATACCGTAAGCAGATTTGGAATCACCGCTTCAAGGTGCATTTGAAGGTTTACGTTTTACTCTAAAACGCCACGGTGACCAAGTATCCTTCCCTTGTTAGATTTACAGTATGGAGCGAATCGCCAATCGCTCTTCATGACTATAAGATTATAGTATGAACTTTCAGCACATAGCGCCGATGTAGGTAGGCCTTTTAATTAAAAATCCGAAAATTTGTGTAGCAAGGTTTTGAAGCGTGCTAATTTTACCAGAGAACTTCTTGCCAATCTTTCGAGTTTTTAGTGGTGTAGTCACGTTTTTGACGAACACTGGAAAAGCAGTGGTTACTCAAATTTAAAATAACTTATGAACGAACATTACAGTGAAGTACAAAATTCACATATAGAATCCGCGACTTCGACTAGTCTAGCACAAGAATTTTTGGTGTGTTTGGTCTTTTCTCTGAGGCAAAAATGGCTTTTACTTTCCTAAAATCCTTCTCAAAGATCATGCCGTAGTCTTACAGTAATGAAAATCGGTTGGTGATTCGCTCCATACTGCAAATCTAAGTTGAGCCTCGCTCTATAGAGTGGTATCTCAAGCTCGGCGAAAGACGTTCAAGCAAGGGAGTTATTGGCGGATAAACAGTGTCGACATTTTTTGGACATCTTGTAGATATATGTACTGGGTTTAGGTAACTGCTAACATGGAGGACATGGCAGAATGCAACATCCGCTCATTTCTGAAGTTGGTGAGATGACATAATACAATAGCGAGGCCTCTCAGCAAGTTGCTCAAGCAAGAGATGTATCTTTAGAAATACCTGCGTGTCGAAAATCAGTTTTTTTTCACAATGAGAGGCTGATCCGCAACTTTTTTAGCTACTACTGAGTTTATAGTTTTCTCGTCATTACCATTAGACCACACTCTCTAATGGGAGTGAGAACTTCAGCAGTATCCACATTGTGTAGTGATTTCCTCCCTCCGGAATGTACCTTTTGCGGCGTGTCATGTCTCGGGCAATCCCTGAGTTAAGGGACTCGCTATCGTGTTGCATAAAAATCGCACCAACTCGGAAATGGACGAATGTTGTCGCTTCAAAAGCATGTCCACCCAAGTCCTTGATTTTGTGTTTTTCTTTTTATTTAACACCTCTTGCGCAAGCTGAGTTCAAACGCCTAAAATTGAAGGAAATTCTCAAACTACTGTGTTTTGAACATCCTTCAGAACTCGCAGTAGACGAGCACTCCTTGCCTTGACCTTCGTGCCTGCTACGCGAAATCACTGAGTGGGCAAAACGTACGTCACGCCCACTCAAAAGGGAGGAGTCAACGTGGCGAACCCGTCTTCCAAAGGATTTTCGAAGCGATTTTCTGGAAGCAACGACAGCGCGAGTTGGACAGTTACACAGTTGAGGGCATCGCAACTGTTAGAGGTGGACGGTGCCTTTAATGGCAGTGTCCCGGCAGATTCGTGCCCTGGGTGATATAGGTGTGGTGGGGTTTCTGACTAACCGCCCGCGCCGAGAAATTAACCCTCGAAACGGCGCGCGCTCCGACGGCTTTGTTTGTCTGTTCGTTGCGGGACCCCACGACGGCTCCCGCATTGCGTGTGCTGTCCACAGTAAGTATCGGACAAGGTCTTCGTGCCGGGGCCTCCCAACCTTCCATTGCAGATCTCGTCCGAGTTGCTTTCTTGAATTGCGTAAAGGTCCCAAAATCGGCCTTTTCACCCCTTTCAGAGCTCAAATTCAATTCTACGTATCGAAAAGCCCTAAAATATGGAAAGGTGAAAGTACAAAATCTGCCGGGACACTGCCTTAAAGCCGCGCCGCTGTCTTAGTTCCTCCGACTCTCCTACTTCCACCGTGAAAACTTCCCGGTCCCTCCTTCTTCAGTATGAGTGCTAATTGAATGTCTCTACGTAGTAACAGCACTTGCGAGAAACATGGCCAGACGTTATGCCGACAATGCGTTCCTAACCACAATGACATGTGTAAGTTCTACGCTCCATAGTCATTTTTTACGCACAAGTGGCGCAGCTGCTCTTGTCATAAATCCGGGGTATAGTGTCTTTGTTCCATTCATACTTTCCCTTGCATCTTAGTAGGCTCCCGCGAGACAAAGGCGCAAAATTAGGGGGAATGCCATTTTAACAGCAGCAGCGCGCATGAGGTGCAGGGTTTACAACAGTGAAGATAGGCGCGGCGTCCGAGCGGCTCAACTAATATTGCTTTTGCTCCTTAGTCCCAGTAGCTATTACAATAACTCGATTGGCGACCAGTGTGGATGCAGACCAGCTACCTTTCGAATGAGCAGCACTACCACTCCATATAACAATGCAGCGATGACAATGCATATCCATCGATAATAGGTTACCAGATCCCTGGAAAATAATCCTAGGTAAAAAAATAGTAGTAGTCATGTATACCTATAGCCGGGAAAGGCAGAATCAGCAAAACTGCAAAATACGTTGACTAAAGCAAGTTTCGCTCTTTCATTGCTGAAAACCAATATCCAATTGACGATCATCGTTGAGAAGGAGATCCCGTATGCTGCTATAAACATGGAATGTTGACTACAATAAAAACGGTCCTGCTTTGAATTTTTTGTACCTGAAAGTACAACTACGGCATAACGCATAGTTGTTTGAAAGTACCATATTGGGAATACGGTAGCAAGAAAACGATCGATGGCTACAACCACGTTCATCTGACCAATCAGAGACATGCCAAAGAAGAACGAAATTGTCGACAATTCGGTTAGGCACTGCTGCCGTTCTACTGTGGTGTCAGCTGCAAGAGATTAATGTAGGACTGGCTGAAAAAATCGTTGCCTTATAGTGACATTCAACCTTGTTTTATAAACAGTTGTATTAGGTTGTCCCACAAATACCGTCCGCCATCCTTACTTTTCATCCCAATAACTCCGATTTTTCATATGCTTCGACAAAGCAAAGCAAACTCTACAAAGTGTCCAAACTTTTGCACAGAGTTAATTCTAAATTGGTTAAAATCAAAATTTAAAACGTCCCGAAACCCAAAAACTCGAAGAAAAATTCAAAACTGCTCAAGAAATCTCTAGGAAGCTTCATTTTGTTCACGCATAAATACTCTTCATCAAATATATACTCTTCATTATATACAATAGCATTTGCTGTATTTTCTCAGTACTAGAAAATGAGAAACAGAAAAACGCCGAGAGTAGTAAAATATAGCAAGTGTACATACGAATATTAGATGGAAGGCGTTGTGCGCGAGCAAATTAGACTATCCAACTTCTCAAGCACAGTTCTGATCTTTTTCGGGTTTCGGAGTTCGGGTGTTAAGTTTTTAGAAGTCGTTTCAGATTTCAGTGTGGAAAGAATTCTGTGTAAATGTTTGGGGCTACTCTGTAGAGCTTACCTTGCTCTGTCAGTAAACATCCCAAGGCTTTTCATTGAGATGAGGAGTTATTGGAATGAAAGGTGAAAATGAACAGATTTTATATGGACCAACCCGATAAATTCAACGTTATGCACTGATTCAGATATCTAGATGGTACGCAAACTTAAAATTGTGCTTGCGAAATTATTTGCTGTACAGACTACAAAACTTAGAAATATGAGTTAGGAAAAAATAATGAAGAATTATAATATCAATCAGATTATTCGGACTTTCCTATCTCGGAAATTTTGCTGTTTATATTGCTCTAGTAGCAACGAAGTGAAACCCCGAATTAAATAATATAACTCCAGATTACTACGAGCATTTAACTACTGAAAAACTAAGGCAAAGAAACAAAAAGTCAAGTTTGCTAATCATAGTCTAATTCTAAGAAAATTCAATTGGAGGCTAAAGCCTTGTCACGACGTGGTTTGACCTAAAATATTATCTCATCACTTACTTCCAAATGGAGTTCAAGGAATGTGAAGTGTGAATATAAAAACTGACTTACAAATCGCAGCCTTTTCCAGTCTCCTTGTTGCAGCTAGAAAAAATCCCAGAGCATACAAGGTGTCACCCAATGCCATGCCACCAATAATTAGGAATTCTCGACGTTCTCTATTGCGTTTGCGAAAGAGAATGGTAAGAATGAGTGGCACATTAAAGATAACGATGAGAAAACCTTGAAATGGAGTAGTAGTATCAGAACTCAAGTGGGTTTGAAGCATTCTTACTTTCACAGAGATAGATGATATAATTTGTGATCAGAGTCATAGTTTGATGCACTTATGCAGAAGTATCTAAAAAATGCAGGAAATTGTTCGAATATTTTATCGAACAGCGATTGCGATGAGTTGATCAAGAACAGAAAGCAACATCTATAAGGTTAAATCCAGACGTTTCACTTATGCCTGAAAAGGCATAATGCTAGCCGACGACTAATATGTTTTCGGGAAAACATAGTAATATGATGAATTGAATGCAAGTTCAACAATATAACTTTATTGTGTTACGACCAGACATTTTTTGTAAACAGACTACAATTGCCGCGGACAACTGTAGGAAATATGTGTTTAAAGAATATGTGGTCCGAGATAATATACAATACCACTCTCAGAACGTGCAAAATTTCCGGGAACTCCGCGGAATTTCGGGAATTCCGGGAATTCCGCGAAATTTCGGAAATTTCGCGAAATCAGCGCGAATCACGCAAACTACGCAGCGCCATAACTTCCTTCGGAATGAATATATTCTGAGTCCGGAAGCAGCATTGTGTTCAGCTCGTCAAGGCGAATCTTTCCATAAGGAGCGTGTCCTCGATATTCCGTTTCCAGTTTTCTCGAATTTTTCTGTAGAGGTCCCTTCGCAAGAATGTAACGCAGCGTCTGTGTATTATAAAAGATTCCAGTAAGCAATATTCGATAGCATTGCTCTTGTAGGTTATCGTGCGCTAAGTAGTAGCCGCAGACTTCTTTCCAAAAGAGATAAAAGCGCTGGTGAATTCTGGAAAAATCACGCGTTTCTAAATTCTACTCGCCGTAACTTCCTTTGAAATGAACAAATTCTGAATCGGAAAGAAGCATTGTGCTCAGTTTTTCAGGACGATTCTTTTCATGGACATGTCCTTGAAATTCTAATTTCAGTATACTGCAGTCTTTCTGCGGATAGCTCTTCGCAAAGGTGTAAAGCAGCGCCCATTGCCCTTAGTAGATTCATGCAAGAAAATTTCCATAGTACTCCTTCTGTAGATTACGAAGCGCCAAAGAGTAGCCGCAGACTTCTTTCCAAAGAAAATAGAAGGGTTGATGAATTCTGGATAAATCATGTCGTTCTGAATTTTACTCACCGTAACCCAAAATATGAAACTCTCTTTCTGTGCGGATGTGATCTTTGTAACCGGCAGGTCGGTTAACTCTATAAGCAAGTTTTCCGAGATGTTCAGCTTATTTCATTTTTTCTCGTTTTACGCTCTTATGCTCGCCGGTAAATTTTGGTCAGAATGTTGATGATCTTCGATTGTAAGGAAAACTCGCTTATAGAGGTTTTCGGACACGCTGTTTACGAAAATCATGGTCTTTGGGGAATAAAGGGTCTTTTTGCAGAGATATGGTGAGGTAAGTGTAACTGCGTCACGAAAATTCGTAAATTCGCCTGCATTTCTCGCGTATCTTCCAGAAAACTTGACCGCTTGCTTTTATATGCTAAAGTTACTAGGAACCGTGCTGTTGAATGGTGCTTGTCTCAGGCTCCAGTCTATGAAAATCGCCGAGTTACGGCAGAATACTGAAATTAGAATTTCAAGGACATGCTGTTCATGGAAAGGTTCGTCTTGAAAAGCTGAGCGCAATGCTTTCTTCCAATCCAGAATATTTTTATTTCAAAGGAAGTTACGGCGAGTAGATTTAAAAACGCGTGATTTTTCAGAATTCACCAGCGCTTTTATCTCTTTTGGAAAGAAGTCTGCAGCTTCTTTAGCGCTCCGTAATATACAGAAGGAGCTATCGAACACTACTTACAGACATCTTTTACATTGGATAGGCGCTGCTACGTCCTTGTGAAACGACCTCCGCAGAAGAATTTAAGATGGGAACGGAATATCGTAAACCCTCCATCTGGAAAGATTTGCCTTGATGAGCCACAATGCTGCTTCCGGACTCAGAATATATTCATTTCGAAGAAAGTTGTGGCGCTGCGTAGTTTGCGTGATTCGCGTTGATTTCGCGAAACTCCTGAATTTCGCGGCCGGGAATGTCCCGGACCTCCGCGGAATTTCCGCGATCTTCACGAAAATTTTGCTCATTCTGAGTGTAGTATTGTATGATGAAACATGAAATCTTGAGATATTAGTGTCCCATGATTATTTACCGTTTTTATCCTAATATCAGCATTGCTCCTGAACCGAGCACCTTCAAAGCTCACAAATACATGATCTTACTTCTGTATGTATGAGCTACACGATCACGTGCGTGGGAGGAGCTCAAAATGTTTGAGGGCGGAGTTTGCTATTTTACCCATTCATTTTTTTTCTTTACTTCTAGCCATGGAAAGAAACGGAAATAGCACAACTGAATGTGCGATTTGTCAAGCATACGCTAGGATAAATGGGGAACTTTTAAGACACTTTCGGGCGGAGGCACGATTTTTGAAGGGAAAAGTTCGTTTTTGACTGCTATCAGAGTTTAGCTCAAAACTTCCGCTGAAATACGATTTGGGCGGATTCTTCATAGCCATCTTGTAGAGCTTGCTTCGCCCTGTCGAATGATTGCTGAAGCCACATTAATTGTAGAAAAAACACAAAGGGAGGACGGTTGTAGTAAAGACGATTCCCGGAGTTCCGCGGAGTTCCCGGATTTTGCAAATTCTGAGAGTGATATTGTACGCGTGGTAATGGATTATTTGCAGGAATATGTTTTGTGCTAGACAATTCTACTTAAAAGCAGCGGCTAGGCAGAATGACAAATTTGGGATACTCATCGCTCTCGCTTCCCCCGGATGAGCTAACTCCAAAACTGTGCTTTCAACTTCAAAAATACCAATTACCTGCTTTTCTAGACGTGAAAAGTGCTATTTGGGCGGACGGCGTATGCCTGTCCTCTAGAGCGCGATTGACTAGTCAGATAATCGCCGGGGACAGGCGGCCCCGCGAATTTTGAGCAAGCGAGCACCGGAAGAATATTTCGCTGGTTTCATGCGGTGCTTGCAGAAATTTGAAAGAATGTTAGCCAGTTTCGAGAGGAATGCTCGGAGAAGTATCGTGGCTTTTCTATAGATTAGTTGCTGCGCAGTGGCCGCATTCTCGCGGACTTTCCGCGAGAATAGGCAAAAATTTTGGGGGCCGCATGGTTCCTTTGTGAAGGACCGCACAGCCCGTAGGTACCTTCCGCTGAAAGAAGGTACCTTAAACTTGAATAATAAAACCATCGATGACACCTCTGCTACATAGAGTCTCATCTCTACTCGGCGTATGCACGAAACTGCGTTAAAAGAATCCTAGCGCTTGCTGAAAGTTTAGCCATCGCTCGCTGAAAGAAATTATTTGCCGAGCGCTTGCAGAAAATGCTGTAATGCCGCCCGCTGGCAGAATATGAGACCGTAAAGGAAGTGCCGCATGTTGATGTTTGGCCACGCCCCAAAATTCTGACCGCCTGCAGAAAAGCGCGAGTTTGCGGACCGCCTGTTCCGGAGATTTCCTGAGTGAGTGGAGACACTATACCCACCGTACCTACGAGCTAATCACGCTCTAAAGGGCAAGCATACGCGGTCCGCCCAAATAATACTTTCCACGTCCGGAAAAACGAGTTATTGATATCTTTTGAAGCTGCAAAGCACAGTCGCGGATTTAGCTCGTCCAGGGGAACCGAAAACAATGAATATCTTGAAGTTGTCATTCTGCGTAGCCCAATAAAGCATCCAAATTTGGATGCGAAAATTTAGGACTCTTAGAATTATGTGCGACGTATTGTTTAGAATTAAGAAAGGTCACTTCTCTGGGAGAAACGCCCCATAATTCCCAAAAAAATTCTCCCCATTTTCAAATCGTAGTTGTAGCTTTCCGATTTACACTCTTTACACATGAAATATCAGTTTTCTAGTTTTTTCGGAATTAATTATGACGAGTTTTCAGCTAGCACCTTTCGAATCAATTTTTCAAATATTTGGCTTGCGTTAATGGAAAGTTTGAATTCCGGAATGCTTATAAGGTGATGCTCCCAAAAATCATTGAGCATTCGAACGGATGAAAAAGAAGAACGCGAAAACTCTTGAAAGTCAAATAGAAAATAAAAAATGAAGACAACAGACAAATATGAAGAATGGATAGATATAAAGACAAAACAAACAAAACAAGACTCATGTTTGAATAACATCTATAGATTTTTATTGGAAAAACTGATATGGCTTGCTAATCCGTGACGAAATCCAATATTTGACCTAGTAGTAAAAGCACTAATAATGAACGTAGATGAGGGATAATAAACACCAATAAACCGCTCCAAAACCTGAATTAATCTCGTAGACTCTGAATAAAGTCCGTAGTTTCATTTGATTCCAGTTTTTCATAGTTGTCAAAGCAAGCCCTGATATGGTTCAAATAACATCTTAGTTTTCTTCTGACGTGAGTCTGATGACTTTTAAAAACCTCTCCCCCACGTGATGATATGTGTCTTCTTCAGTGATAGCCTCGCGAACATAGTCACACAGTGATTACCTTGGGCAGGCGTTATACTTCTCGGAATTACACCACCCCTCTGATCAATATGCGTAAAATAGTGTAAAATCGGCGCTTTCGTCGCCGATGTTGACGATGCCACTAGCCGATATTAGCTACTTGTGATCGCACGCTCAAATACTGGCGACTGCATGTAGCATAGAAATTGATCGCCAGCGAGTTTCCACGTTTCCACAAGTTTCCAGTTTCCACGTTCAATGATACGTACCCAATGTGTAGTCGCCAAAATCTGGTGATCGCCGATTGCTGCTACTCACGTGCCTTTGCTCTGCATATATACTTAAGAATAACCAATGCGAAAGATAGGGGTATCAGAGACGATGTTTTCGCATGGGCGGTCTCAAGTGCTACCCTGATTTTGACTTGTTTTGTGGTGGCTACAGGCTTAATTGTAGCCTTAGGCGGATGGGTGGTGCCTGTAGTGGCGTGGTGGCTCCTAATGTGTTATTAGAACACGTAAGCTATTAGTAGTAGAACACATAAGCTATTAGAGCTTCATTGAACAGACGACATGCAACCATTCGTGCAGTGGTGGAATGCTGGTGAG